AGAGCTAGATGGCAAGTGCAGATTTGTAGGTGACAACACAAAGAATACAAATATTTTAAAGTATGCCTTTTAAACTATCAAAATTAGACTAGAAATACGTAATAAAAAGTTGACTCCCAAAAATCTAACTGTTGGGGTTTATGAAACACTGTCTACAAAACCTTTGGATGAAAAGTGATACCAGCTGGAAAATTACAGACTATTTGTAAAGCAATGAAAACAAAACACTTTATTCTCACACTTATGGAACTCAGTGTGAAGTATAAAATATAAAATATCCACTGAGTATTTTTCAGACAAAAATATATAAATATATCACCTTAAATACTTTTTCTCTATTAAAGAAGGCAAAAGCATTTATCTTAAAACTTAGAAAAAGGAACATTTCTCTTCTTTGGCAATAAGCAATCAGATAACGTAACAAAAAATGAAATCTCTTCCACAGACAACAAGACACTCTAAAATACTGGGAATTAACAAAGAGCACTCGAGACCCTCAAAGAGCACTCAAAGAGCTCAGGTCCGACATTGCTCAAATGGAACTTAATACATGGCAACAGTAGCTCCACCATAAATGGCAAGAGGGCGGGTTGTTCAGTGGGAAGTGTTGAGAAAACGGCCTCCCTCAATGGAGAAAAGCAAAAGCAGATCCTAACCTAACAACACACACAGCGGTGGTCTCTAAATGAACTACAAACCTACCAGTAGACAGCGGAATGAGTAAAACACAAAGAAAATATTTTTCAGACCCTAGGATGGAAGGGATGCTCTGACACCACTTCATGTGACTGGGCTGGAAATGCTAGGAGCCCAGGTAATGCTGGTTAGCACGTGAAGTTCAAATACTCTTCTCTCATGTAAAGTCACAAGTCTGTAGGGCAGTTTCCCCTAGGCAGTAATCAGGGACCTGTGTTCCCCACCTGAGGGTTTTCCACTGGTTAATTCAGAGGGAAGAGAATGGGTAACAGGGATAAAGGGCTGCTTCTCCACCCTTCCCACGTGGTCCCCACTGCGGCAGGACGCAGCCCCTGCCAAGAGAACAAACCAAGTCCCATCCAGTCCCTGAAGCAGCTCAGCTGAATCCCTCTGGACAAGGTGCAGCTTCTCCACCGGGTCCTTTAACTAAAGGCGACCTGGCCTGCGCCTTACACTCAACTTGCAGTGTGGAGAAGGAGGAGGATGGCAAACAGCAGCATCCAAGCTGCCTGCTGTGTCCAAGGGTTAGTATGCTGTGGGGCTGCTGTGCATATGGCGTGGATACTTTAAATGCAGTGACTGCACACACATAAGTGAGCTGAGCTGTTGTCTCTGTGAAGAATGTGCTGCGTCCCCTGTGGGCAACTCCACATGAGTGCTGGAGGCCCTCTCCTGGTGGGGAGGCTTCCCCGGGATGGCACCCAGTACCCATACTCAGCTCCAGGAGGAGAGCTATGGGTCCTGCGCCTCACCAGGTCTGACTTGGCTTTCTGGCGCCTTCACTGTCCATGACCTATCCTCATACCCCCCCGAGGAGTGAGGCAAGAGGCTGCGCTGGCCAGGACTGCCCAGATGTAGAGGGGCCCCTGATTGACAGCTGGGAGCTGGGTTAGCTTCCATTTAGTTCCACATGCAAAGGCCCCAACTAGTCATGGGTTAAAGCCTGGGGTCCCATGTCTTGCATTCATTGCTTTCTACGTGCCTGCTCTCCTCCTGTCTCTCTCCAGCTCACGGTACCATGAGACCACCTGCAGTGTTGGGCTTGCTGACCCAAGCACCCAAGCTGGGCTGTGCTGAGACTCGGTCAGCACAAGTCACAGGCCACAGGCAGTGGGAAACTCCCTGCCAAGCTGTGCTCTCCTCCCCCTGTGCCCACATCTGTCTTCCTGCAGCCTAAGTCTCTCTAGGGGGGCTCTGCTGAAAGTGGCAAGAAGGAGCCAATCCTCGCCAACAGTCCAAACAATTCTGAACCAACTTCTCTAGGGTGATAGTTACAGTCGTAACTAGTCTACTCCTAATATATCTCAAGCAAGGGTCATATCAACTGTTGTGCCATATGTAGCAAGGGTCACCAGCTTCCACCTGTAACACTTCTGCCCTCACTTCAGTTCAGTTCAGTTCAGTTCAGTCGCTCAGTCATGTCTGACTCTTTGCAACCCCATGGACTGCAGCACACTAGGCTTCTCTGTCCATCACCAACTCCTGGAGCTTACTCAAACTCGTGTCCAAGGAGTTGGTGATGCCATCTAACCATCTCATCCTCTGTCATCCCCTTCTCCTCCTGCCTTCAATCTTTTCCAGCATCAGGGTCTTTTCCAACGAGTCAGTTCTTCGCATCATGTGGCCAAAGTACTGGAGCTTCAGCTTCAGCATCAGTCCTTCCAATGAATATTCAGGACTGATTTCCTTTAGGATTGACTACCCTCACTGCCTGACCATTAAGCCAACTGCACATGGAGTAGATTCTGTTTCAGCACCAACCTGCTCTCAGGTATCAAGTACTGGATTAGTTAGAATAAAGTTCAACTGATGTAAAGAGGCTTCAGTGGGGCAGAGGGCTGTTTGTGCCTTTTCAGGGCTGTATGCCTGAAGAGGGAGGAGCATGGGCCCCACTATCTGAGGGCTCTACCCTGCCCAGAGCTCAGTCACCATTTCAGCCAGTGGGAACAGGACACGGTGAGACCCTGAAAACGCACTGTGGACCACATGCCACATCTCACAGCATTGCCCTTGGAAACATCACCTTTGCTTGGATGGGCAAGTGTCAGGTAAAATTCTAGTCTGAAAAGGACAGGGAGAATGAAAACACAGTGAGGAAGATGAGCAGGCTCTCCACACCCACCACAGGGAAAATAACATGGTTCACACAAAGCCAGGCAGCAGCAACAGGAAAACAGAAGATGAAAAACAGATAGATGTCCAAGACCAAACCCACAAAAATGTGCCCAGCGAAAGGACATTTGAATAGAATGTGGCTGATGCTAAGGTAAAAGGTAAAGGTCTGTTGACTGAATCAGCACTTAGCAATTGATAACCATCATTATCTCTGTGTATTAATACAGTTTTAAGAAATGTCAAAGCTATTTGTGGTAAAGTGTGCTTAGGAAGAGTATCACCAAGAGGTGGCCTTTCCTACCAGCTTTTCAAAATTCTCCGAGTAAAGATCAATACAACCTCCAGATATACAAGAGCCTGGGAGATAAGGCCTGAGCCATAGATCAAGTCAATGTAAGGCAAGAAGGTCCGTTAACTTCTAAGAGAAAGTTTCTTTGAAAGCAGGGAAAGTGGAATAAACTTATTACTGAAAAGTGCCTGAACAGCTCATACTGCTTATTCAACTGCATTCTCGCTCTGCCTCACAATGCACTGCCCACTGTACCCCCTCCAGGTCCCACTCATCCATCCCCTCCAAAGGGTATGCACACATGGTGCCAGCTTCTCATCAGACTCCCAGACCACTTTCAGTTGCCAGACTTGTTTCCAGAGCTGCCTGTCAAGGACTGTTTCTGCTGAATCTCTCATAACCTATTCCAGCCAATGTGATGCTAATCTTTCCTCCACAAAAAAACTAGAAGGCAGTACCATAGAAAGTTCCAGAGAAGGGTTCTGAGGACATGGGAGGGAACTCACGTGAGAAACCAGGGCAGCAACTCTGAAGACTGTGCCCAGGAAATTGGCTCCCAGGAAGCGAGCAGCACCTCAAGCACCGGGAGGCAAGAACACAGGCACTGAGACACCGCTGGGCCACATAGCCCGGGGGAGGAGGAAAGCATGTCTGCAGCTCACAGCCAGGATCCAAAGCCGACAAACTCTCCACACAGTAACCGTAACCAACCCGTGGGAAGCCAGCCAGTGCCATGACTTCACCAGGAGGACCTGCCTCCCCCACCAGAGTCTCTCAGTAAGAGGCCACCCAGTGATGGGGACAGCTCTGCCCACTCACCTCCTCTCCCCCCAGAAATGGATGGAGAACACACCAACACAATTTGTCAGCTGTCTCCCAGCCCCTTGCCAGCCTGTGTCCACCCCAGAGTTCAGCCTGTAGTAAACCCCAGTTTACAGGAGTCACTTGACTTATCAGCAGGATGTCGACAGTTTGAATCTACACAGAAGCTTCACCTCATTTCTTAACAAACTTTGCAGTGTGCCTAAGGCTTCTCAACCAAAAAGGGACAACCCCTTTGAAGTTAAAGTTATCACATCCCTCACAATAAAACAAAACATTTTGAAAAGGCCCTAAAAGAAAACAAATAAGAAAACCCCAAGACTTCCCTGGTGGTCTAATGGTTAAGAGTTTGCCTTTCAATGCAGGCAGTGTGGGTTGGATCTCTAATCTGGGAGCTAAGATCCCACATACCTCCAGGCCAAAAAACCAAAACAAAAACAGAAGCGATATTGTAACACCTTGAACAAAGACTTTAAAAATGGTCCACATCAAAAAAGAAAAAGAAGAAAACCCCAATCCAGTTCCATCATGCTTGAAAGTCCATGGATCCCAGTTTCTTTTCTTGAAGCTGAAATAGATGATGAAGATGAAAAAAAAAGGCAGGGGATAATAAAACACCTTACTGTACACTAAGGCCTGGTGTTGTAAAAACATGATCTAAGAAAGTATTTTTGAGTTGAATTGCGTTCATTTAAAACGCTCAAACAGAGAGCTATCCTCTGAATCTGAAGGAAGGCAAGCTGCCTTGGAATGTTTACCATGTAATCTGGCAGCTTACCTTCAGTAAGCAGCACACTGACAGTTTAATTCCTTAAGGGTTGAATTTCCAAAATGTAAGTCATAAAGTGAGCTTTCTCATCAGTATGGCTCTGCTGCTGTGAAATAAGGAAGAATTTATGACAGAATTACTCACTGTCCATAGTGCAACTTCTGCTGCTGCAGAAATGCTGCCTGCGCACCTAACAGTTTCCCATAGTCATCATACAGATGGCCTTGCTCTCCACTGTAGAGTTTGTGAGCTTCCCTATGATTAATAAGACCTCTTCTCAGACAGAAGGTTTCCCCACATCTGCTACACATGTAAGGTTCTCTGATGTTGAGTGAGGTGACAGCTTTGTTGGAAGGACCTCCCACATTCAGTGCATTTGTAGGGCTTCTCTCCAGTGTGGATTCTCTGATGCTGAAGGAAGGATAGGTGTGCCCCAAACACTCTCCCATACTTGGTGCACATATAGGGCTTCCCTCCATTGTGAACCATCTGCTGATGAGTAAACTGAGAATGCTGGCTGAAGGCCTTGCTGCACTTGCTGCATCAGTAAGGCTTCTCATCAGTGTGGACTTTGAGATGCTGAATGAGGGAGGAGAGGACGTTGAAGGCTTTCCCACACTCACTGCATGCATAAGGGCTCTCCACAGCATGTATTCTCTGATAGTGGATGAGATGTGTGATCTGGCTGAAGGCTCTTCCACAGTCACCATATTCATAGGGCTTTTCCCCTCTGTGTGTCCTCTCATGCTTAATGAGGGTGATGATCTTTCCAAAGGTCTTCCCATACTTGTCACACTCGTGGGGCCTCTCTCCAATGTGAACCCTCTGATGCTGCACCAGGGAGGAGAGCATCACACTCACTGCACTTATAGGGCTTCTCGCCACTGTGTGTCCTCTGATGGTGAATGGTTGAAGGCTTTCCCACACTTGTCACACTCATAGGGCTTCTATCCAGGGAGAATTTGCTGATGCTGAATAAGGTGTCCCTTGTGACTGAAGGTTTTCACACACTCATCACACCTGTTGGATTCTCCCTGGTGTGGATTCTCTGATGTGGGATGAAGCAAAGGTGAGCCCTGAAGAGATTCCCACACTCGTTGCAGACATAAGTCTTCTCTCCAGTGTGAACCTTCTTATGTTGAATAACCTGTAAGCACTGACTGAAGGATTTTCCACATTCATTACAGTCATAGGTTTTCTTCATATGTGAGTTCTCTGCTGTTGGGTAAGAGAAAATCATGTGCTAAAGGCTTAACCACACTCACCACAATCATGGGGCTTCTCTCCAGAATGGGTTCTCTGATGCTGTCTCCAGAAGGCCTCCCCACACTCCACGCATGTGTGTGGCTTCTCTGCACTGCACACCCTCTGATGATGGATCAGGTTGGAAACATAACTAAAGGCTTTTCCACACTGACTGCACTCACAGGGCTTCGCCCCAGAGTGAACTGTATGAGACTGAATGTACGATGGATGGGTACTAAGAGTTTTCTCACATGTGTCACACTCATGGAGTCTTTCTCCAGTGTGTGTTACAGTGAATTCTCTGGTGCTCTGAGCAAAAGCTTTTCCATACACAGCACAGTTTTCAAAGGGTTTTCTTGACTGTTAATGCTCTGGTTCTCACTGAAAACTGAACTCTGCCTGGACACTTTCACAAACATATCTGCATAACAGGCTCATTCTCCTACACAGACACCCTGGAGGCTAAGGAGGTCCACACTTGCCTGCAAGTTTTCACCACATGACACACTCTGGGGGAGACTCTCCCTGAAGATAGCCTGCAGTTTTTGTCAGGATTCACATTTGCAGTGCAGTCTTCCTCAGCAGCACCAAGCTCTGGGCCTCTCTCCTCTTTGGAGGTCTTCACACCTGCCACTGTCACTGGCCTGAACTGGGTCTTCTGGGGGAATTCCTCCTTCAATCCCTCTAATGGAGGTTTCTCCCAGAAATTCTGTATCCCTCCCTCCATTTTAGACATCTCTTCAAAATCAGGTCCCTTGGAAATACTCCTTACATGTCCTGATTTTGTTCTCTGGAAGTCCACTTTTTCAGAAATTTCCTGCTTTGGAGTCAATTCTGTATTTTCCATCCTATATTCATAGCATAAAAGAATGGAAGAAAGAGTTTCTCATGTTTTATTGCAGGAAATACTTAAAAGCATAAAGTGGGAACACTTATATGAACCAATTATCTCCTAGGATGATTTGGATTCTCAGAATACAAAACCAAAAAATGACCTCACTGGGAAGAGAAAAGAGAAGGCAAGGACAGAGAAGCAATTGCTCAGAGCTGTGAAAGCTGGCATGGGAGGGAGGGAGAGAAGAAACCCAAGGTCAAAGACCTCCCTCTGAGATGGACCCATAGGCACAGATGGGGCAAGAGCTTCCAGGTGTGACCTGAGGGAGAGGTGCCCTCAGAAAGTGAGGAGGGAGACTGGCACACTTGGTTGTTCATGGCTGACACTCAGCAGACATTCAAACATTTATTGATGTCGGGACCTGCCCAACATCAAACTGACCTGAGGGAGCGGTGCCACAGAAGAATAAAGAAAAAAGGACTCAGAAATAAAGTGGGGAGTTCTCTGAGCTCGCAGTTCCTCTTTCTTCTCCTGGGAGGGTTCTTGGCTTTTTTTCCCCAGCATGGCCCCCAAACACCAGTCTTCTCTTCCACCCCAAGCGAAGAAACTGAAGAAAGCCAGGCTGACTCCTGCCTCCAGGCCAGACGAGGCATCTGCTTCTTCAAATTTGCCAAAGGAAGAAAAAGAACAGCAAGAAACAATTGAACATATTGATGAAGTACAAAATGAAATATACAGACTTAATGAACAAGCCAGTGAGGAGATTTTGAAAGTAGAACAGAAATATAACAAAATCCGCCAACCATTTTTTCAGAAGAGGTCAGAATTGATCGCCAAAATCCCCAATTTTGGGGTAACAACATTTGTTAACCATCCACAAGTGTCTGCACTGCTTGGGGAGGAAGATGAAGAGGCGCTGCATTATTTGACAAGAGTTGAAGTGACAGAATTTGAAGACATTAAATCAGGTTACAGAATAGATTTTTATTTTGATGAAAACTCTTACTTCAAAAATAAAATTCTCTCCAAAGAATTTCATCTGAATGAGAGTGGTGATCCATCTTCAAAGTCCACTAATATCAAATGGAAATCTGGAAAGGATTTGATGAAATGATCAAGTCAAACACAGAATAAAGCCAGCAGGAAGAGACAGCATGAGGAACCAGAAAGCTTCTTCACCTGGTTTACTGATCATTCTGATGCAGGTGCAGATGAATTAGGAGAGGTCATCAAAGATGATATTTGGCCAAATCCATTACAGTACTACTTGGTTCCTGACATGGATGATGAGGAAGGGGAAGGAGAAGAGGATGACAACGATGATGAAGAGGAGGAAGGATTGGAAGATATTGATGAAGAAGGGGATGAGGATGAAGGTGAAGAAGATGAAGATGATGATGAGGGGGAGGAAGGAGTGGAAGATGAAGGAGAAGATGACTAATGGAACACTGATGGTTTCCAACCTTTTTTAATTTTCTCCAGTCCCTGGGAGCAAGTTGCAGTCTTTTTTTTTTTTCCTCCTCTTGTGCTCAGTCACCCTGTTTTTGAGGTCTCTTTTCTCCTTTATACCATGGTTCACAACTTATTTGGGGAGGAGGGGAAAATATCTTGAGCAGAATTCAGTGGGAAAAGAATCTCTACCCTTTTCTGTTTCAAATTCATTTTTATCCCTTCCTGTCTCAACAAAAACTATGGAATCAACACCACCATGCTCTGTGGGAAAAAAAGAAAAACCTTATGCTCCCTTAGCTCTGCTGGAAGCTGGAGGGTGCTAGGCCCCTGTGTAGTAGTGCATAGAATTCTAGCTTTTTTCCTCCTTTCTCTGTATATTGGGCTCAGAGATTACACTGTGTCTCTATGTGAATATGGACAGTTAGCATTTACCAACATGTATCTGTCTACTTTCTCTTGTTTAGAAAAAGAAAAAAAAACTTTAAAAAAATGGGGTTATAGAAGGTCAGCAACGGGTGGGTTTGAGATGTTGGGTGGGTTAAGTGGGCATTTTGACAACATGGCTTCTCCTTTGGCATGTTTAATTGTGATGTTTAACGGACATCCTTGCAGTTTAAGATGACACTTTTAAAATAAAATTCTCTCCTAATGATGACTTGAGCCCTGCCACTTGATGGGAGAATCAGCAGAACCTGTAGGATCTTATTTGCAATTGACATTTCTCTATTGTAATTTTGTTCCTGTTTATTTTTTAATTTTCCTTTTTGTTTTACTGGAAAGGAAAGATGATGCTCAGTTTTAAACGTTAAAAGTATACAAGTTGCTTTGTTACAATAAAACTAAATGTGTACACAAAAAAAAATAAATAAAATAAAGTGGGGATCAGGGGGCTCATGTGGCATCAGGGGATGCCATTCGCAGGCAAAACCCAGATCCTAATCCTTGCATGCTTTTTATTGCTAACATCTACTTCCTTGTACGTGCTCTAGAGATTTCTGTTTTTTACAATTTCAGACCAGGGATAAAGATATACAATTCACAGTCCTCAATGTCAAACCTTCAGGTCTCTCATGACTGTTTAGCCCTTCAGCTAGGGATGACCTTTCTCAGCAACCCCCTCAAGGCTCTCATTATGAGAACAGTCACTAATGGTTTTCCATCAGTCACATCAGTACTTCAGTATCTTATTTTCAAGATGTTTTTGCACAATGTACTTTTTACTGCTCCCAGCCCTTCACCTGGGGGTGATGAGAAAGTCATTCTTATTTTTAAAAGAAGCCCTGTTAATTATAGTACAGGCCTGTGCATAGCATATTCCCTACAGTTGAAAAATAAATGTATCAAAAATAACTTATAATGAATGAAGGGCATACAGAGTAATGAATAATGGGAAAAATGATTTGATCTAGACAATTCGGTTACACAGAAGTAAATTATGGAAAACAAAACAAAGAAAAAAAAAACAGAAAGAAAAGAAGCAATCTACCCGTTCAATGGCAGGTGCAGCACAAGGTGACAAAGGCAAACGTGTACATCAGTGCATACCACATGTCTCCAGTGTGTAAACGTACCTGAAAATTTGTAAAAACTATGACACAGAATTCTGTGATTCAATGAAAGGGAATTTACCAAAAACAAAACTATCCGTCCAAAAGCACTAAATTATGTGACTACAAAGCCTGTGGGAAGATAAGCCTTGTGAAAACTGTGAGAGGGAGGCCTGTTCTGAGAGACCATGAAAGCACAATGGACTCTCTTTGGAAAACAGTGGTTATTATTAGAGCTGTGACTTTCAGACTGTTTAGTCAGAATGGAGAAACTGGGCTGAAAATATTAACAGGGTAGGCTCTAATATGGGCCAAGTCATCTTT